CAACTGTATACGTATGTGTAACTCATTGTATTTCTTTGTATTCTGTATCTCGTTATCGTTATCTTTTCCTCTAGCCCTCTCGCTTAGGATGAGCTTTCTTTTTTTATGGCAGCTTAAGCGAAGGCTATATACCTGCTTTATGCAGGTGTTGATGCCAACGCGAACAAGCAGAATAATAATAATAATAACACAATATTGTGGAAAGGTCACAACAATAAGAGACAAGATCAAAAGGAAAGCTTTACAATAATAATAGAACGTATTATTACAGGGTGCGACAGCTCTCCGCAATTGAAGAAAATGTTGAGTCACCTCCACCATTACACTGCGCTCTTTAGCCGACTAGACCCTCCTGCACACAACCATCACCATTGCGAGGACACGGCCGTGGACGATATTGATAAACTCCTTCAGACAGCTGTTTCGCTAATACATAGCTCATCAGTGAAGGTAGGTGTTGAATGATCAGCCTGTAAAATGTAAAAAGACGCTGAGTACAGTGCAATTCAATATCCATGTCCAGTACTTATAATAAAAAGTATCTGCTGCAATTTATAGATTCTCACATGCGAGCAACCTGGGCCTCAGCAACAACCAGCTCAGCATGGGAGCCTTGTGGCACACCAGCAGTGAGCGACATATGGGGTGATAATGCAGTGCCGACCCGCACAGACATCGATTGGCCTTCCATGAAGTCCATCAGCCACGCGAATGAGTCAGGTGCACACCAACTGGACAGACATGGGGCTATGAGGCGATGGCTGGCACGATCAAGCCGAAATGATAGTAGCCAACTTGCCGAAATTAAAAAAGATGCCAGTGCAGCTCCTAATAAGAGGGTGACGTTAATGTTGATAAACTACGTAGATGTCTCCATTTTGTTACTAGAAAATCTGGTTCAGAATCCGATAGTCCGCGTAACGCAGCTTCATTAGTCACGGGTGTTTCGCAGTGGCCACTCGTCAAGATGGCGGAAAATCCGAGAGTACAAAATTTTCGACTCTGCCCATGTGCGAATCTCGCATGTGCATGCAAAATCTAGCCTTCTGCAGATCAGGGTAAAGCAAGTGTGTTGGAACGACGACCTTTTCCGAGAGAGAATGTGGCTCATTTCATCCCAATATTTTGCTCGCCACGCTCTCCCTTCCTTTGAGGTGTTGATGTGGTTGTTGTGTACAACTCGAAGTGACAAATTTAAGACCCCCGCGCCACAAGATCACTAAGGCGCGCCACAAAGTTTCGTTTGGCTGTTCAATGAAAGGACGTATGGAAGCAGGGTTAAAAACTGTCGTGGCTGCCGGCAAAACGCCTCGTAATGTAATGAACGGGGGTGTGACTTTGGTAATTCCAAGGAGAATGTACGCACGGCCATTCCACAACAAAGACGAAACTACGAGCTCAGAAACACTCCGATTTTCCAACAAACGACGCAGGAAAGTAGACATGGCAGCAGTGTTCCCGTGTGGCCTTCAAAACACCTAATTTTACTCCGATAGCGGCTGGTTCAGGGCAAATTCAGGCCCAATTCGACAGCGTCGTACCGCTCAGATTCGCCCAAAACACGAGGAAATGTACGGTAGATCCGAATGCGTACGGGGACGACTGGCCAGAGTTCATGCACTGCAAACACCCGTGTTACACGGTGTAGTAGAAGTGGATTATTTGTACACACAGGCGTGGACTTAAAGGGGAAGTTCATCGATTTTTCAAGAACTCCTCAGATGCAAGACAATTTGATATTGGTTCCGATGGTATATGAGCCGTCAGATGCAAAAAGGTACCTTATGACATTTTTGGCCAAATCGAGTTAACGATTGTTTCAGATACAACCTGGTCAGGAGAGTGTCGTGCAAAAAACCAGGTCCAAAAATATCAATTCATCACCGAGTTACCCTGGAAAATATCCGGACTATCGATCACATATTCACAAAAAAATACTTTTTCGAACGCGATTTTCTCAACTGCGAGCAAAACGTCATAAGGTACCTTTTTGCATCTGACGGCTCATATCTCTCGCCATATCGCCGATTTTCTGATGGCGTTTCCATGGAAACTACAGGTGATGACACACAGTCCTCTTAGCTACGTGAGAGTGTCGTGTCGTTCACTGCAGAATTGTGTCATTTTCAGTTGTCAAATATTTCAAAACATACGGCATTATTTCGTTCGCTAATTACCGCTACCCGTCGTCTCACATGGCTTCAGAATATGTTACGAGAGATAGGAGAGTCTCCAGCAGGCAGCGCATCCATCGTCAGAAAGTGGAAAGAGCAAACGGCATGGTCGTTGGTTGAGGTAAGTGCTGAACGTTTGATTTGTCCCAACCAAGATTTCAGCACTTGATTCGTCTCGATTTTCGCTTGCCAGCTAACGTCTCCGCACTCCAGCTTTCTCCTGTCTGTGTCATGTACCAGTACACAACGGAGAGGGTTACGAATAAAAAGGTCATGGCACTAACAGCATTGAACACAATACATCTTTCACTTCGTGAATACAAAAAGACAACTGAAAATGACACTACTCTCTTACGGAGCTAAGCAGAATGTGTGTCGTCACCTGTGGTCGCCAGGGAAACGCAATCAGAAAATCGGGGATATGTCAAGGTTGCAATATCGTGCGGAGGCGAGAGATTTGCCATTGGAACCGATATCAAATTGTCTTTCATCTGAGCCCTACTTGAAAGATCGCTGCACTTCCCCTTTAATCAGTGCATTTCACACATTATACATTTTAGAACATAGTTTCTAAACGTTTCGTTCACTAAAGACATCTTCATTAATTAAATGAGCATTGACACCGCTGGCATGGAGGTACAACTAAACAGCGCTGCGAGGAGATAGTAATCCACACCTACACGTACTATGGCGAAGGCGGAGAGAAACAGAGGGCACCATACATCGCAAAAAAAACGTAACGTGTACAGACAGTGGTAGTGTGGTATCCTGTGAAGATGTTGATGTGCACGTGCATGTTAAACATTATCAGTCGTGTTAGTGCTGACTATACAGCTATACTTTCGTTTCATTACGGTCAACCAACATCTTGATGTTGAACTGAGGCCTAGGCTATCCATTACAACTAACAAGAGAGCTGTCTTAATATTGTTGCCGATCCGCTGTTCTTTTGCAAACTTTTGCATAGCTACTGTAACTCTTCGTTCTCCCTGCTGAGCTCATCGTTAAGATTGCGTTGTCATATTATATTAATTATATGCTCGCTGCATTTACCTCACACTTCAGTCTTTTCTTTTCACTCCAGCACGAGCGAGCCTTGGTGTTTTTCAAGTCGTTTCACTTCTCTTCTGTTTTGATTCGGAAAGAGTTCTCAGGAATCAGATGCAGCCCGGTTGTGACTTGCTGTGCGTGTGTGTTCTTTCGTCAGTCTGGTCTTATATTTAGATGTGGTGCAACTTTGGTTACCCTTGCACGCTTGCGCGACAACACTTGCGGGTGTTGACAATAGCACGACTCTTAGGTTAAATACTCCATTTGCGCTACATAAAGACTTGCGGATTGCACATGTACATGACATTGTGTACATAGCTGCAGTCGCAAAGGCCAGCTGTGCAATAGTACCACTATCCGTGGGAAGCAACTACTGTACTGGCGCCAGGAATATGAACAATACGCATGGTTTGCTTTTAGAGGTGGTCACAGCATGCGTTGTTGTTCATTCTCTAGCTCAAGTCTCGAATTTTCATTGCTTCCCGTATCCTCTTCCTGGTCCGATCCTCCTTATTGGCAGTTACGCAAATATCCGTAAATAATTTGTTACCAAACACCAGTACACATTGCTATGGTGACGCCTGTATGAGTATTTCAGTGTTCCTGTTGGGCGCGTTGTCCTTCGGCTGCGTTACCACACTACGTCAATTTCTAACGGCATACGTCATGTCGGTTAGTTGGTGTACATGTTCATCTCCATTATTCACCCCAGTGTCAGGAGATACATGAATATGGATTTTGTAGAAAGAAAAGAACATCTCATAGCATGAGCATGTCAGATGGTAAACAACGTTGCGTCTCGTGTACTCTAGCTAGCATAACTGGCTTTCATTTGTCAGACGAGATGCCAAAAAAAGAAAGACTACCGAACAACGTTGAAGTTACCATTCAATAATCATACTATCCACAACAAGGTCCACATAAAGTTGATTGTTCCAACTAGGAACACACGCTTCTTGCCGAACGTGACACTTGACTGACTCACGACTGCCATCCGGAGCACACGAGGAGCACGTCGCACCTTCCACTCGGCAAACCTGCAAGAAAGTACCACTCCCTGCTCAATACACAGTGTTTCGGGGAATTCACCCCTCATCAGTTGAGCTTGAGTAGGCTGAGGAAGATTGTGCCTGAAAAGCACCACTTATATACTGCTTCTCAGGCGAAACCATCACCAGTGATACAAACTTACAGAGACGCTTTGTTTCCAGCGTGACAAACACCTTCCTCAGCCTACTAAAACTCAACTACTGAGGGGTGAATTCCCCGAAACACCGTGTATTGAGCAGGGAGTGGTACTTTCTTGCAGGTTTGCCAAGTGGAAGGTACGACGTGCTCTCCGTGTGTTCCGGATGGCAGTCGTGAGTCAGTCAAGTGTCAAGTTCGGCAAGAAGAGTGTGTTTCTAGTTGGAACAATCAACTTCATGACTATTACCGCCGAAGTCAACTTCTAAGTTCGTATTGTTGTCCCTCACGCGGACGTGCGACTAGTTGTTGGAGGTGACAGCGTTGCGAATAGCTATACTGGCTTTCAACGTCTGTTTAGCATAACTCCATGAGCGACTCTGAATCACGCTGCTAAATGGAGCTTCACGAGGTGTTTGTCGCACTGGAAACACAGCGTCTCTGTAAGTTTGTATCCCTGGTGATGGTTTGGCCTGGAGGCACAAAAAAAACGCTGTAGCAATGGAAAGCAAGTAGTTCCGAGCTTTGATTGTGTCTGTGGTGTTTCGAGAGTACGTAATTAACCAATTGTTCGTTTGAATTTGTGAATAGATACACGGGCTGGGATGGTCACTGTGGATACCACTTGCATGACTGAATGGTTACTGATATCCAACTTTAGTCGTGCGAGAGCCGTCGCCATTCCCGGCACACCACCTGCCATTCAAGCTATGTTGGACGAGAAGGTTGTAAAACTTCAACGGCACTTCGTCTTGAGTCTCATCTTGGGTTATGTTCCACAGCTTGCAACGAACCTGAAAAACTGTGTGGGTAAGTAGATTTATGGCGGATTACTTGCTGATGTTTCATCAATGTCAAACTACAGATTGTGTAAAATACACAAAATTAATTATATGCAATGAGTTTTACTGATTTCAAGTATTCAGTGTTGCATTGCTAGTGTCTTTGAATAGTATGCATATGATCAAGTTTTTGTTCACCTATATTTTTCCCTTTTTGTTTTTTGTTTTTGATTTCTTTCTCTTTTTCTCCCCTTCCCTTCTGGTGTCATGTCTAACATTGGGTGTCGCCCAAGGGAAGGCTCGGCTAACGCCGATGCCAACGCGAAAGTGCTGATGATGATGAGTAGTCTTCAGGGCTTACTCACACAATGTTAGTGATATTTGTTCGATGACTGGGTCAATATGACAGCTTGGGAAATCATACTCCCTGGCCGAGAAAATGGTGTAGAGAAAAGCTAGACCTTCTCAATTGTCAATTGAACAACTCTCCAAGCCGAGGATAAAATATGATAATGGCGGATAACACCATGGAAAGGACCTCAATTATGATAAATGCTGAGATGCAGGGAACAGAGACAGCTTTCTAGCGTGATCAATATCCTCGGCGATCATTGATTGTACGATTATTCAGGTCTAAGTCCCCGCTTTTGCTTTTGGCGTGCTCATATTTTACAATCGACTTCAAGATCGAAGGCCAGAGTGCCCCACAGCTGACTTAATAAGGCATCTACCTTGCTCACTTGATGGAGAATGTGTGTTCAACACTACCCAGCAATCTGCTGTTTGCGTTTGTCCAGCTGGACTGACTGGAAGGAGGTGTGATGTAGGTGAGTGTCGCTATGTATTATCATTTTCATCAAACATACTAGACTTCATTTGGTGCTAAGTAGACATAGGGACGTAGCGACGTTGGTAGCAGAGGAATCAAGAGCGTCAACTGCCCAAGCAGATACTACTGCTGAATCGCAAGATTCGTTGCTGCGGGAATCTAAAACGATTGTTATGATTATGTCTTTCAGTGTGTACTGTACAATAGTCCACACTTCTACCAGACTTATACTGCTGGCTGGTTTTCACGAAGTGTTTATCTCACTGGAAACGGAGCATCACAATGAGAATGCCATCATCGCTATTTTGGATGCAGGCGAGCTAAACATATAGTAATCCGGCAGCACGAATTGAATCACTTTAGCATACTCAACCTCCGCTGTTCGGATTCTAAAACCCGAAAACAATATAGAGACTTGTGACTGGTGCATTATTCTGCACTTATTCCTAGTGTTATGAAAGTTAGTTTTGTTCAATACGAAAAGGACGACGGCATAATCTCCAGGCATTACGACTGACAACGGGAACAGATTAGGTGTGAATGACATTAGGGATAACGAAGAGACACAGACAAAGACGAACGGAACAACTACATTGTGGAAGAGAGACAAGAGGCCATGTGAGAACGGCAGGATAAAGGGCATGGGTAGCTATGGCAAATATGGGCGTGCAAGTAGCTAAGTTACACAGGAACAAAAGATGGCAAAAGGAGACAAAACGTGAGTAGGACGTAGCATGGGGTGCATGCAGGCCAGCTTGGAGAGAATTGTACGTGAGGATGTACCTACCGGTAACAGTTTGACAAACTTTTCGTGTTCTCCAGACTTCCGGAATGAGCCAAAGAAGTGCCAGTTAGTCGGAAAGTTGTACAAGATCAACCGTTGGGACCATCTGACCATCTGATTCTCTTAGTCAATGACACATAAAGATTTCCCTTTCTATTTGTCCCCTTAGACATTGATGAATGTTCTCAACCAGATATGAATAACTGTGACCAACCAGCAGTAGCAACATGCTATAACATTCATGGATCATTCACTTGTGAATGCAACACAGGCTACTACGGTAGGAATGGGCGAGTATGTTACGGTAAGTGTACTGAAAGCCCTGTCGTTGGTTGGATCTCAGTTAAATCATGCACAGTCCCTAGTGTTCAATTCAATCGCATCACCTCTTTTTCTCGACCTTCCCAACATTTTATCCGTAGTCACGAATCGCTAGTATGATCATTGTTGTGTGATGAAGAACAGTCAGGCAAGTATGAATGACAACGAAAATGTAGTAGCATGGTTCCAATTCAAAGTTTTGTCTTTCTATTCCGCCTTCGTTGTATTGAGTGGTATTGCCAGTTATTAAAAACTCTGGGTGAAGCTGATAGTTTACACTGTTCTCAAGTAGCATGGAGCAGGTGTTAATTATGTGACATGATGCCCTAGACATCGAGTTAAATAAATCCTTCCAAAAAAACTTTAAAAACAATTAGTAGAGCTTCATTTGGAAGCATCATTTTTACGTGCATCCCTTTCCAGATATATTTCCGATAAGAAACATGATTCCACGCTCCAGCTTCAGTTCCTTACTATACGACTACTTGTCAACCTACAGGTAATGATGTTGTTGTTATATATTCCACTGCCCTCCCTGTCCAGATCTAGATGAATGTACAGCTGGTGCACATCAGTGTAATGAACATGCAATGTGTAATAACACTGTTGGATCATACTCTTGTTACTGTCAATCTGGATACAAGGGAGATGGTACTAACTGCCAACGTAAGTGTCACACGATTGATGGTGTTGAACAAACATGAGAAGAAAAGGAATAGGAACAGACAGAAGTCCAGTACATACTGTTTCAACTGCACACTCTTCGTATTTATTGAAACAAAGAGACAATTCAAAACCAATATTGGAACAAAGAGCCAATTCACAATCAATACGTTGTCATGTTGATCTTGAGGTCATAGCTCTGCGATCTGCAAACTTTGCCGCTAGAAAAATTCTAAATGCGATTCTCGGAAATTTTGCGCTTTCCGTTTATGCACAGCAACTTGGTTGAACTAGTATTTCACTACAATTTCAAACGAGTGGCCCATAATCAGTTCCGTTCCAAAGTCTCAGTTGCATTGTATAACAGGTTTACTAAAGTTCGTTTCCCAGCCCATAAATCAGGGAGGGTTCCCTACAGATTTTGTTGATTGAGTATGAAAGGTTTTCGTTTTGCTATCATTTGCTCAACTTGGCCAGTTTGGACTTGCAAGAATGATCACTACCCTTAACAAAACTGCTTTATTTTTATTTTATTTTACTGTTCCAGTTGATGTATGTGGATCATCTGCCAACAGCGAACTCTGTTACCAAATTGAGGACATGAAAACCTACAACAAGAATCTGGAAGAGAAACTGGAGGCTAGGGACATTCAAATTAATCAACTGCTCTCCGATGTGAAGATACCGACTACCATTTTTATCCAACAGAAGACGAAGGTGGATCAAATGGAAATCGAGGTAAACCACTATATTTGTAACGTTCTTTTTAGGTTAGTTCTAAACTTCTGTATCAAAGTATCCTAGTCACTAGAGTTGGGATCGATGATGATTGATCGTCCGGAGCGCGCAATGATAAGCTTGTCATCATAACCCTTCATACTCTTGTCATGGTCACACAGAAACCAACGTATACATTATTTTGGGTTGCTTGGAAAGACTTACTTTCGAACTGTCTCAACGAGTTCAGTTCGGGACATATTTGCTTAACTACAAATACCTTAATCATGTCGTTTTCCCTTTCCCAATCATCAACCTAAATTCTTGTCCTCGAAATTTCACATACACCCATCCCAACTCCCAGCCTATCCATTACCAAGCCAACGAATTCTGTTCACGAAGGCCACTAAATGCCAAACGTGACCCGCAGCTGGGGAAGCTCGCTCAGAGTTTGTTTAATTGTGTCAATCATTCATCAGGTTCCCTGGAATAATACGGCATCGTCTTGAGGGTTCCGATATAATAATAATAAATACAAATACATGTATATTACTACACGCACAGCATGAATCATATGAATTGGTATGTCTATACCTCACACGATCATGTTTTCCACTGTCACTGCAGAACACAATCAATCATCTTTCAATGGAGGAAAAGATGACGTCAATCAATTCCACTCTTTAAGCACAGGAAAAGAAGGTAAAGACAACCTGTAATCGCCATCAGACAACATTCGTCTCCAAGCGTTCCGATCTCCTGTCATTGTCACACAGACACCAACGTTGAGATTATTCTCTACTTTCTCAAAAAGTCCGGTTTGGGACATAATTCTGCAGCATCCAGTACCTATAATCATTTCCATTTTACCGATCTTTAACTCGGATGGTGAGCCAATTAAATTATGGAGAAAAAAGGCAGAGAAAATGTTACGAGTTATGACTAACTGTCCACCGACGTAACCAGATCTTATGCAGTCAGCGAGTGCCATTGTCATAACTCGTAACATTTCTGTCCTCCTTTTTTCACCATAATTTTAACGATCACCATCCAAATATGTCTGTCCTGTGAATTTTGTCGGAATCCATCCTCTCCCCTAGCCTATTCATTACCGAGACAAAGAATATTTTTTAACAAAGACTACATAATATGAATTAGAAAGGAAAAGGACATAATGGAAACGAGTTAAAAGTAACTCTCCACCACTGAAACTAGATACTATTATACAGTCAGAAAGTGCAACAACTAGTCACAAAACTGACAGAGTACTGAGACATTCGACGTCCTGACACCTAGCTTCAACACATCTCCGTAGCGCTAACCGATAGCCTTCCACCTTCTCAGTACTCTGTCAGTTTTGTGCCTAGTTGTTGCACTTTCTGACTGTATAATAGTATCTAGTTACAGTGGTGGAGAGTTACTCTTAACTCGTTTCCAGATGTCCTTTTCCTTTCTACTTCTTTATTATTGGCTCAATACTCGAGTTACATATGTGAATGGCATGAATTGAAATACGGCTATATCTCAATGGATCATGCTTTCTGCTGTAGCAGCAGAACCTGATCAAGCATCATTCCATTGAGGAAGATATGATGTCAATGAATTCAACTCTTCAAGCACACGAAAATAAGGTAAAGAAATATTGTTACTAAAACCAGATCAACTCTGTTCTAAGCTTTCCAATCCAAATGGATGCATAGAGTACTGTAATCATTGAATACTACTCTCTAGCAATATTCACGAATGAAAAGAAAGGAAGGCAAGGGAATGGATCAAGGATAACGACGAGAACCTATCCGTCTGGCAAACCAGATTTTGTCATGGGGTTCCTTTGGACAATAACAAGTCATCGCACACACTAGATCTCAGTGCCAGTTTGGTTACAAAGTGCAAGCCGGTGGGATAGGGTCACTTTGTTTTCACTATCTTCATTTCTTTCCCACAATCCAAGCACAACTTTATAACCCTGAAACAAAATTCTTCAGAACAGTTTTCATCCATCAATGCTACTCTCCAGGACGAAGGGCACGAAGAAAGCCACACAATGCAGTATCTCAGGAACGCTATTGTATTGAAATAATCCAGACAATTTTTTTACTTCCTTTACTGCAGATGACGATGAAACTCTTTTCAATTGAGGAAGAAATGACGTCACTGAATTCAACCCTGAAAGCACAGGAGAAAAAGGTAAGTAAAGCTGTTGTATTCGTGACCTACATTCGCACGATTGGCATATACGGATGGCTATTCTGTGTACATGGTGGCTCGGCAATGAAGAATTGCTATGTTAGCATTACACTGCCTTTTTTAAATCGCAAGTAGAATGCCCAGAAATTTTCCACGATCGTGCATCTGCACACACTTCATCCGATTAACAGTTTGTTGGCTCTAGGAATGCTTCCTTGTGACGTTTACGAGTTAGAGCACATAACTGAGTGGCGAACAAATAATAATTATCTGCGTATAAAACAAGCTGATGTGTAAAGTGACTGCACACAGCAAGAACATTTTGTGGTGAACAAATCACTGAAATTCTTTCTTTGCTTTTTCCTTTTGACCACTCTGGACTATTTTGTTCATTTATTTCACAATCTCAGTCATGTAGCTGGGCCCAAACTAGTGGGGAAACATTCATTCGCTTTTAACCCTTTGAGGGTCCATCGTTCGGGTGAAAATATACAATTGCAGTTCACTCCACCATTTCCACCATAACTTACGTTCTGTTTGCTTGATTTTGACAATCTAGGGCTCTTTGAAACGCTCTTTCCGCTGCCAGTTGAATGAGGCCACGCTCAACTTTAATGCAGAATTTGCGTTAGGAAAGGAAAGAAATACTAGTACAGTGTAAGCAATTACCGTTATATTCCTTGCACACCGATTGTAAGGCTCAAACAATTTATACTGGTGTTCATTGAGGCCAAATGGCCAAGATACCCACAAAGAATGCAATCTTTTCAACTCTTGTTTGGTCGTCGAAAAGCATGTTAATTGTCAGTTTCGGGTGAGATTCACTCCAGGGATAGCTACCCAAATGGATGTATCGTAGTACTACCGCCATTAACATTTTACTCTCCAAAATTGTTGGCATGTCACCAGAAAGATTACAAGAGAATGGATCAAAGATTAAAAATCTTTGTGATATCATGGCAGGGTGGCCCAAAACTTTTCACTTGCTTCCTTTGGCCTATAAAAAGTCACCACATAAGCTAAAATGTCTCCATCCGTCTGTCTACAAGATGCAAGCAGGCGGAATCAGACTTATCTCGTTCATTATAATATTTTAACTCTTTCCCACAGACCAAGGAACATTTCCGCAACATGAGGAAACATTCTGCTGAAAGGTTTGCGTCACTCAATACTACTCTGGAGGAAGAAGGTTTTAAGGTAATAGTGCCAATGAAGTATATCAGCAATAAGTACCTAATCGAAGTTGAATGTAGTTTTTAGTTAGCCGCGGTGTGTTACCACCCTTCATCCAATTCTCACTATTGATAGTTTTACGGCGATCCAGGAGATGAACTTTTGCGATTTCGGCAGTATTAGCGATGACATTTTTGCCTTTGCCTTTGCCGTTCGTTTTGCCTGGAGAGCACTATAGAAGTGGCGCCTTTTCCGGCACAATCATTTTCATCCTACTCAAGCTCAACTGATGAAGGGGGGTCTTCTAAACACTGTGTATTGAGTGCTTTCTTCAAAGTTTGCCGAGTGGAACGTGCGACATGCTCTTTGTGTGCTCGGGGTGGCAGTCGTAAGGCAGTTAAGTGTCAAGTTCGCCAGGAAGTGCGGTCCTCGATTCAGGAGATGTTGTATTGATTAATGAAATGAACGAAAGAAAGGATTGGGAGTTTGGAAAAGACACCTTCTTGAAAGATTGGCAGAACTTCAAATTTCAAAGGACAAGGCGAAGTGAGCTGCTTGAGTAGACAAAAATGCCAGACCCACCAGGACTGGAACCTGGGACCCTGCTTGTCATGAGCAATGCTTTAACCCACTGAGCTATGGGACAAGGCCAAACCTAGAGGCTGCTGACAAGTGTTTCACTCAAAAGGCCGCACACAACACGTTCCACACATACTAATTGCACTAGGGTCTTTTTCCCTTCCCCTACAGTTGAACCACGGTCCGTTCAGGGAACGTACTACCAGAGGAGAAAAAAAGATATTGATTTTGAAAGAATATGAGAACTTCAAATTTCAAAATGTGTGGGCTGTCTCTAAACAGCATCGTCACACTTCTAATCAAGGACGTAAAGCAACACATCAAACCACTTATGTGGATTCAATAGATTCGAAGATCAATTGGAGGAGAAGCTAAGCGCACAAGAATAATGCAAACCCGAATGCCTCAGGGAAACAATATTGCATTTTGACTACGACAATTAAGATTGCCAATAAGCAGCTGTAAAAACCAAACCAAACAATACGAACCAAGTAAAAAGCAGCAGTTTCACACGACAATGGGGCAGACATTTCCTTCATTATTACCGCCGGTGTGCCAGCATCTGAGCTCCCGAAGAAGACTGCCAGGAAAATGCGAGCGAACAACGTAGACAAGGCTGAGCACGGATTTGCTGACTTCTCAGATATGGTCTCGGAAGTGTTCAAGAAATGCACAACTTCGATTTAAAGATGGGAACGAAAAGAACGAAATTGTTCTCGGGGTTTGCCTCACAAGGATCCTGAAGGAGATAGCATTTGCCTTGTTGTTTTTTTTAATCTATTCGAATGTATGCTGCACACGGACAACTCAAGTGCCAGTAGCACTGCCATTAATTTTATCTGTGTGCTCTACCAGAACAGCAGAAGCACACGCTAGTCATGCTGCTTCACCAAACCATAATTATCTTGCCCCGTCAATCCACCATTGTGTTGGAATATCTGACCTTGAATATTAGGAGTCTAGTTACCTTACAATCATTCTTTCCATTCGTTTCCGGATTCTCTAAACGAAGAAAACCTTCATGAGATATGACTTGTAACCATGTGCGTGTTGCATGGATGTGTACTGTGATGTTAATTTCAGAACACTATTAAATTCCTTGCAATGGAGGAACAGATGTCATCAATGAATTCATCCCTGCAAGCACAAGTCAAGAATGTAAGATATCTCACTTTCACATCCAAGCACACACCCTCATGCGGTGTTTTATCCATTTACGTACATGTCCCAGTACTGTCATACGAAATGCATTGTATGACAACTGCAGCAATGGGAAGAGACTTAATCGGCAAACAGAAGAATGTACAAATATCAAGGGTCGAAAGTATTATGACGCAGCAACAATCTGTAGCATCTTTCAACCAGCTGCGTTAGAATATAACTTGCTACTCTCACTCCACATACACTAAAACACACACAGATACATAGACTGCAGTAGCGATAACTAAAATTGAAGTGTAGTTGGCCGCAGCTGTCAGATATGAAGCGGATCGCGATTGAGGCATGGACCAAGAACTGAGAACAGAGTGTCTAAATGGAAAAGATATGCATGCGCATAACAGAAATGGGCCATGATGCGGAACCACTTGGGACCGTAAGATTAATTTTAAAGGACCGAGCCAGACAAGAAAAACCCTCGCGCCGACGGACGCAGTAGTGAGGGAGAAAACGGGGAGTACATCCCCAATCGCGATTTGGCATTATGTGAGGACGGCAGGCACATCACGGAAAAAGTTATGAAGATCCACGGAAAGGAAGGAGCAGGGAAACTGGTGAGACTCGAACACTGACCGCAGAAGGCAGGAAACGAAAGGATGATGAAGAACGCGGAAGATGCCTAATTTTAAACGAAAATGTTGTGCGTAAAATCAGTTCTCATCTACCTCGCAGCGCTCGGCGGGCGAGGAATACAACAGTCATCACACATTTACTATACTGGCAAAAGATTATTCACAAAATGCATGCTGGTGGTTTTGTGAACATTGTATTTTCTCACAGACTAAGCATAGGGATATCAGCAAACGCACTGCGCAGCCCACTGCGCAGGTGATCACGTGCACGTCTAGACGCGGCCGACCAGCCGTGACCATCCACACCGGAAAAAAATCGCAAGTAAATCAGGATGGAAAAGAAGGACTGAATGGCGAAGAAGTGTATGAGGAAGAAGACCAGCTAGGGCAGACCTACTTCGACGCATCCCTCTATGATGCTGGGCGATTGCTAAAAATGTTCCTTCGAACACATTCATCGTTTACTACACTGTTCTCTACTACATTAGTTTTCCCAAGCACTTTCTTCCAGCTCAAAAATGGACAATCCGAATCGTCACCTAGATTTCGTAGTACATCGCCTAGTGCCTGGCAAGATCGAAGTTCCCTTTTGAAGACGTCATTGAATTTGCCAGCCCATGTGGACTACAGGTGCCAAGAGTGGAGGAAATCCACGGAGGTGTTCACCCGAAAATAATTGAAAGATTACTTGGGTATCATGTTCCACTCGTGGCGCTTTTGAAGTTTTGAATGACAACGACAATACTACTTCGAAGTACTTGTTCTCGCGTCGAGGACCTTTGCCCAAGTAATTTCTGGTCATGGCTATCTAGACAAGGGAGTAAGGGGCCAAGTCTTGGAACCTTGCTTACCACGGCTAGAGCAAAATCAACAAGTAAGTTTCAGACGCAACCAAAGGTCACCAGTTGGCCTGTTCGCAAGTAAGTAAGAGTTCTGTTCTTTGTTAAAAACATCGGTCTGCCCAGCTACGAACATCCTCTTCTTTTTTCATGTCTTTGCTTGAGAACGTTTACCAGTCATAGGCGCCACCCGAAGAATATTAGCTCCTGATGTCTCCTTTCCTGGATGAATCGAGCTCAAGCAAATTTGTCGTGTCTGTCACCAGGTCACACTGTCCAGGTCAGGATGTCCATTTCCCCTGCTACAGCTGCTGCATGCCCTTGGCTTTCGCTACCGTGAATGTTTACATGCAGTGCATGTGTCCATTCACTGCAGCAAAAGGTTCCCCTTTCCCATATTGTTGTACGAATCGCGATGCCACTCGCGCTACTCGCGATGCCACTCGCGCTACTCGCGATGTTTTTTTTGTTTTTCACTATGTTCACATAACCCGCTCGAAAAGAATAAGGAAAGACAATGGTACAGAGACTAGGACAAACGTGACATCTAATGAGCAGGCGCTGCACCAAGACGCAGCAGTGATGGTGGGGCGTTGATGACTCTGCCGACCTGAGGTCTCGGCGTCACGGCCAAAAACACCCACCAAAAACAATGAAAAAAAAAGAAGAGAGAGCTGTACAGGTAAGAAAGATGCAAAAACCCAAGGCTTAACACAAACGATTGTGGGGGAAAACTGTCTTAGCATCATACTATTAATAGGGAATCTACTGCCCAGAGCCAGTTTGTGCTGCGCAGATGGCGGTAAACATGCGTTTTGAATGATTGCATTCTCTTGCTGTGGGGAGGCTGGGATAGGAGAGCGGCAGGGAGGGAATTCCAATCGCTAATGCTGCACTGTGGGAACGAGCTCTTCAGTGCCAGCGCGGCAGATGCAGGCAGCTGATGTTGGAGCTGGTGGTCATGGCCACTGACAGCACCGCGCTCGCTGCGAGTTCTGGGGTTGGTAGAGGTGATGTGGCGCGGTGGCAACACAGAGAGCAGCTGCGGAGAACCAGGCACGTAGTGCAGCTTGTACAGGCAGGCAAGCGAGGCTACAGTGCGGCGGATGGCCAGGCTGGGTTGGCGTGCCCCAGGGCCGATAGCATGAAGCGCGCGGAGGCTGGAGGTGACTCTGCGCAGCTCCCATCCATACAAGAGGCGCATACTCCATAACTGGTCGTACGAACGCCTTATATTAAACAATTATGCAACACAATATTGTGGAAAGGTCACAACACTATGAGACAAGATCAAAAGGAAAGCTTTACAATAATAATAATAATAATAATAATAATAATAATAATTCAAACAGTAGTTTGGAGGCGGTGGGAAAAACAGTTTCGTAATACGTATTCGTAGGCAACGACGCAAATCCACACAATTCAGTAGACACTTTTTCTATCAAACGTTTTCTTTCCCTTCTCTTCAGGATAGTACAGGGAATGTTGGAAATTAGAAAAACACATAACTATATAGAGAATGAAAGAAAGAAAAAGTCAACATTTCAACATAGGTGTTAAAATGATTAAAGTGTTAAAAACTCAAAAACAAACAGCTGCAAGTTGTAGACAAACACGTTGAACACATCAGGGAACACTTGTCACACTTCACTCTCGTGAACGTGTGACAAGTGTTCCCTGATGACTGCCATCCAGAGCAGAGCAGGGAGTGGTGCTTTCTTGCAGGTTTGCCGAGTCGAAGGTTCGATGGACTTCTCGTGTGCTCTGGATGGCAGTCGTGAGTCAGTCAAGTGTCAAGTAAAGTCGGCGGAATAGC